AAGGCACGGATTTCAACCGTGAATTTTGGAGCTTCGACAAGACGGAGATTTCTTCCAGAGGTCGGCCTGTTAGCTTAGCTCGTAGCTTCGCTTCTCAGCTTTGCTGCTTTTAGTGAAGAGAGAAGAAAAGAAGAGAAGAAACGATAAAGTCGATAAATGAAAATGAGGTAGATAATTTTCATTTATCATGCGATTAATTGGTTTGTTTATCGCAACAGGCCTAGTCATGTATGTACGTCACGTAATTACCAAAATATTTCTCGTACTTTTAATCAAAATTTCATATAATGACCCACTTGAACTATAAAGCTGATTTGCAATTTTATTCTGCTGTTTAATTATGTTTTTGAGTTTTTTTTAAATAAAAATGCGCAATGACTTTGGACTTTTAGGGGCGGAGATTTGAGTTACTGGATCCAAGCAAACAGTTTCCGGAGCACACCTTGTCAAAATAAGAGCGTTCCAGGATCTTGTTCCAGCTCAAATTAAGCACTGATTGCTGGACTTGGGATATCCCAGCACTTGGGATTTAATGAGTTTGGACATGGGTCTTCTCTTTGGATGGTCCAGATTTGTTAGGTTTATGTAGTTCACAGTAAAAAAAAAAAAAAAAAAAAAAGTCCAAGAAAACATTTGTCTTTTTGTAAAAGCAGATATGACTGAAAAGAATGAAAAGTTGTGTGAAATGTGTTAGTTTATTATTCACCAGCACTGGAAATGTTTTCTTTTAACTATCACCATCAACAGTCTCTCTATTACAATAAAATATAAATGAAAACAGTTCACTGTAAATGCTCACTTACAAAAAAAATGTTTCCTTAAAATAAATTTTAAATGGTAAATGGATTGTACTTTTCAATCTGATCAAGACACTCAAAGCTCTTTACAGCACAGTCTGTGCCTCATTTACCCATTCATACAGCACTCTACTATATTTATACACAGAATAATCAGAGCTTTATCACGTTCAAACACCGATGGGACACACATCAGAGGCAGTGAGGGATTTGGTGTCTTGCCCAGGGACACGTCAGCATGTGACTGCTGGTGGAATTGAACCCCCGACTCTTGCATTGGAGGACGACTGCTCTAACCACTCAGCCACAGCCGCCCCAGTTTTAATTGTTCAAGACTGTGTTGATCCTTTGAATGAAGTGCAGTTCATGGAGGTTTCTGCACAGCTCTCCAGAGGTCCAACCACAGGTTGATATCTGGGCTTCATCTGGACGGTTGCAGCACCTTCTTATGTCCTTCCTGTGTGGGGTGATGGCAGGACACTCCTACGATGTTTATACTCGTGTAAATGGTTTGTTTAGTTGTTTACAGTGAAACAGTTTCTTCTTTCCTCCCACAGGAGTGGTTTCTTTTGAGGAGACCAAGGTCGAGGCCACCTGTCCCTACAGCGACGATGAAGAGGAGCTGATTGACGCTGAGGTCAACGGCAACTGGACACCCCAAGAAAAAGCCCTCCACGAGGCCCGCCTCAAGGCCAAAGCCAAGCGCCGCCTGCGCAGGTCCTCGTCCCGCAACTCCGCAAGCGAGTCCGTCTCCGAGTCAGGAGAGGTGGCGGGAAGCGACCCGCACAGTTTGAAGGGAAAAGTCCACAACAACGACCGCAAGTCCAGGACTGGCAAAGGCAGAGGTCTGCCAAAGAAAGGTAGTTTCCTGTTGTATGAAGCTGGACCATGCTGGGATAAGTGAGGGAAATTCAGCTTCATGTTGATCCACTGGCCTGCTGTTAACAGATTTAATTCTCTGTAAGAGTCATTTAGAAACGACTCCTCTAACATCCTGATGCATGCTCGGGTCCTATTAGATCTTCTAACAGCGGTTCAAACGTGCTTGTGCTTATTTCACCTGAAGCGTCTCGTCATGACTTTCTGTTTAACTAAAACTGTCTTGATGTACGGTTTTTATTTTTGCCTGTGTGTCCTGATAAATTCAGGTGGGGCGGGTGGTAAAGGAGTTTGGGGCGCTGCAGGGATGGTTTATGAAGTTGAAGAACCGGATGCTCAGGATCCCAACTACGATGAATCGGCTCAGGTGAGCGTGGCTCTTTGAATATGCAAGAGAAGCTGAATGAAAGTTGTTGATCATTCAATAAGTACCTTTTCATGTCTCGTCTCAAACTAAATAATTGCTTTTGAACAGTTGGTGAAACACATTAAATACCAGAGTTTTCAACCTTTGAACAAGATGTTTGTCCACATTGAAACATCTGGATTTAACAGAACATCTGCCAAAACCTGATTACTATAAATACACGTACATCTATTTGTATTTTACGGGTTGGTAAAGCGTTGTCTGTTGCAGTATTGCTAGGAGCCATGCGTGTGTCTACGTTCATCAGTGGTCCAAACGATGGACTCCTATCCAGCTGATAATATCAGTGTCGGCATTCGAGTTTGAAATCAGCCTAAAAAATTTGATGGTTTTCTTCTTCTTGCCTGTTTTCCCTCAAGTTTACCTTTTTAAAACCAGACATTCCATTGGTCCTTTTCAAACGACTGGTCTCAAGAAATGGACGTTGCCTGTCTGTGATCACTAACATCACTCTGTTTCACACTGGCTCACATAATTTATAGGTGGCATAATTAACCCCAAACTAAAACTTCTCACAAGGTCAGTTCGTTGTCATTATTTTCTTTTTCTTCGTTCAGCTTTTCTTTATAATATGACATATTCACACACAGAACATTATAAAATGTTTATGTTTATAAGGAAGTCTCCCTGTTGACACAGTCCTCCATCCTGAGCAGCATGGAGGCGACAGTGGAGAGGAATGACTCTATCTACCTCCACTGGCTGGGGTTAGAGTGGACAGGGAAGACGCAGGAGAATTGGTCCAAGTGTGGTTTCTATGGGAAGAACAGCACGTTAATGGTGGCAACAATTACATGTAGAGACAAGGAGAGTTCAGTGAGTAAAGAGAGCAGCAGAGTGAGGACAAGTGGTCAGTTCATAGGACAAGTGGTCAGTTCATCCTCCTGTAGTCTAAGCCTATAGCAGCAGAATTAAGGGAGAGCTCAGGAAACCCAAGCTGACCCCAACTATAGGATTTATCAAATAGGACTGTCTTCAGCCTGGTCTTAAAGTAGACAAGGTGAGAGGAGCCAAATAACTGAAAGCTCTGCCTCCCGTTCCACTGTTAGAAACTAGGAACCACAAGTAAACCTGCAGTCTGAGAGCGAAGTGCTCTGTTAGGAAAAGATGTAACAATAGGATCTGTAATATATAATTAGAAGTAAGATATTAAATTATATTCTGAATTATGGTAATTGTATTGTTGCCCTCAGGGTTCATATTTGCCATATCTGCCTGGCAGAAGGAGAAATCCCACACAAGACAGGCTCTAGAGCAATGTGGATATCCTAACCAGGCTTTCCTGAAAGCAGAGAAGAAACCCAAACAGGACTCCAGTCAGCCATCAGGTGAAAAGGAGGAACCCAGACCAGTGGTCATTCCGTATGTTGAGGGAGTATCAGAGAAACTGAGACATTTATTTTCTAAACATAACGTCCCAGTGGCTTTTAAACCCCAAAATACATTACGGCAAAGACTGGTTCATCCCAAAGATCCAGTCCCTCGGCACAAACAGAGCAATGTTGTGTATGCTGTTCAGTGTCAGGCGAGTGATCAGTCTTACATTGGGGAAACAAAACAGCCACTGGCTAAAAGGATGGCCCAGCACAGAAGATCAACATCATGAGGCCAGGACTCTGTGGTCTACACTGATCTCCAGGCCAGCGGTCACTCTTTCAGGGATGAAGATGTTCACATCCTGGACAGAGAGGAACGATGGTTTGAGAGAGGAGTAAAGGAGGCCATCTTTGTGAAAATAAATCGTCCATCATTAAACAGGGGTGGAGGCCTCCGGGTTCAACTGTCCCCCTCTTACAATGCTGTGATTGCTAGTATCACTCATACCCCTGTGAATAGTAAACAGCCATCAGTGTGCTAATGATCCATTGTTAGGCTGATGGTCCTTCTTGAGCATGTGAGCAGCTGGTTCTGGATGTCAACAACAAACTGGTTCATCCACTATGAGAAGGTGCTATTTATAAGACTGAGTTTGTTGCAGCTCCTTCGACTGGCCAAGTCTTTGGATGAAAGGCAAAACATTTCAACTTTTTGTTAAAAATCCATCTAGAGGATCTGACTTAACTTTGTTAGATTTATTTTGATATTTTTTTACGATTGTGTTTGGGAGCAGCAGTGATTTAGCTAGTCCTGTGGTCCTGGTCCTTGTGGCAGTTTCAAGCCCCCTCCCCCATCTCTCATGTTGACCCTGCTATGCTCATCAATGTAAAGTGGTGTTTCTAATATACACAAATACATGTACAGTTACTGTATCTAGACTAGACCAAAATGTAAATTAAATACATGTGTGATGATGAGAAGCTCGTGTAAGTACTGTGTAGAACATAAAACAAAGTTGAATGATTGTAGTAGGTTTATCGTTGTTGTGTTGAGTAATGTCTTTTATTTTAACTTTAACTTTAACCGTGAGATTTGTTTAACTTCCTTCTCATGGATGAAAGGTCCTCGGTCAGACTGTAGCTTTGCTCCACTGTTGCTCTTGGTGCAGACGTGTCGGCCTCGCAGGTCCAACATGTGCAACCTTATCTTGATTTTAGACACGTGCACTTTAACCCCAACAGCTGCTGGTCTGAGATGGAGCTGCGCAGATTGTTTTTCTGTCGTGGGAACGTTGTTCAAGCGATAAATTTAAAGCTGAGCTGAAAAGCACCTTTTGCACAGTTTTTATTGTTTTGACGACTGGAAATAGAAAAGAAGCAGTGGAAACCAAAAAGACTTCTTGCAGCAGTCCAACAGTCGCAGCGTCTTGGCTCCAAGTGTGCTGACTGATCATACGTGTGATTTGAGAGCACGCCTACTCGCACGATTGTTTAATCCAGATGGCTCCATCCCATCACAATCACTATCAGTCTTTGACCCGTTATCACACGAATGCTGCTGAAGGCCGGGTTTGTTAGTCTCCCGCTGAGTTCAGTGGGGTGGGAACGCAGCTCCTGGCCATCTATAACGAAAAGAAGCCGGCCTTGACTGGGGCGCGACATCACTGGAAATATGTCAAATGTTGCAGAGGGGAAGTGGGACGGGTCGGTACGGGGAAATGCACGGAGCAGCTGTGCTCCTGAACCAGACTGAGGGGTTCAAGGACTTCTGATCGATACGTGCATGGGAAAACATCAAAGTATAAAGAACACTGACGTGGTCTTTAAACATAAACGTTCTTGAAAACAGTACATGGAGCTTAGTTGGATGTGTTTTTGCATTTCTTTGCTCAGACTTTGTCCTGACATGGTTTGGAAGTAAAAACCTCCATCCATCCATTATCTTTACCCGTTTGTTCCATTTTGGGTCACGGGGGTCGCTGGTGCCCGTGTCCAGCAATCAGTGTGCGAGGGGCGGGGTACACCCTGGACAGGTCTCCAGTCCATTACAGGGCCACATAGAGACAAACGAGACAAACAACCATTCACTCTCTCACTCACACCTAGGGACAATTTAGAGTTACCAATCAGCCTAACATGCATGTTTTTGGTCTGTGGGAGGAAACTGGAGCACCCGGAGAAAACCCACGCATGCACGGAGAGAACATGCAAACTCCACCCAGAAAGGCCCCTGGACCGGGGTTTGAACCAGGGACCTGCTCGCTGAGAGGCAGCAGCTCTACCAGTTGCGCCACCGTGCTGCCCGAAGTAAAAACCTGTAAAGTAAATAATACTTGTGTAACAGAACCAATATCCACATACCTGTGCCGGTACCACTTTACAATAAGTCTGTCCTTATAAATAGTTAGATACATTATTAATTCCTTTATAAACACTTTAGAAATCATTAATAACTGCCTATTATGTATTAGTTAAGGGTGACAGAGACAAAACTGACCAGTTTCTTGCGAAATGGTGAGCCAAATATGTTCACCTATATATTTCATCTAGAGTTGTTATATTAAACTTTTCAGACTAAGTTACTACTTTGTATCTCCTGGAGCAAACCTCAAATCAGCTGCATTTCACTGCGCTGTCCAGGCGAATTTGACCATTAAAGTGCATTTATTAAGGAAAAGTTCAACTGAGACACACCTTGGCTATAATGTCGAGCAAACAAATAATTGTTTTTAGGTGCTCATCTTGTTAAATTTCAAATAAATGCACAGCGAGTCCTCCCTCTGAACGCTCTCGCAGCTGCAAATCGGCTTTTGAAAATGCAGCTGATTTGACCGTCACAGTGCATTTATTACGGAAAAGTTGGACTGAGACACACCTTTGCTATAATTTCGAGCAAACAAACGATTGTTTTTAAGTGTTGATCTTATTAAATTCTTGTTAAAGTCCTCCCGTGCATGCTCCCGTGGCCGCCATTTGACAGCCATTCGAGTTTTGTCACAACACCGGCCCACATTTCCGGGATGTCGGCGGTGGCGCATAATAGATGCGACTTGTATGGTTAAGTGACGCATTTGGTTATTTCCACTTTATTAGACATATTTTGACTGATACAACTTATACGGTAGTGCGACATGTATGGTAGCAAGTGCAGTAATAAGCAGTTATTAATGATTTATAAAGTCTTTGTAAAGAAATGAATAACGTATCTATAAACTATTTTTTAGCCATCTATAATTGGGGCCTTATTGTAAAGTGGTCTCCCTGTGCATTTCTATGGTCAGCTTAAAGTTAGAACATGTAATACAATTTAAAACCAGGACAATCCGACGTACAGTATAAACACATTTAACAGATTTAGCCCTACAGACGCATTTTAAGTTGACTGTACAAAAAGCATAAACTACCACAAATAGACGATAAACAACAACGTTTTGTAAAGATTGATCAGATTGATCAGCTGTGGGCAGGTCAGTCTGAACCTTTTAAATCTCTCTTGAGCTGATTTCTGTCAACAGTTACACCACTAATGAATAGATGCAGTTCATGGACTAAGGTTTAATGTCTAAAACTCAACAGAAAAGACAAAAGACTCCAGCTGACTGGTTTAACATGATTTTAATATTGGTTCTGTGAATCCTTTCCTGCTGTCGAAGGTGAAAATATGATCATGCTTTTGCTTTTCGAGGTTCTGCTGTGAGTCCACGACACACTCCAGGAATGCTGCACGTTTATTTGTATTTTATTTCTGTCTTCCAGGGCGACACGGTGTATGAAACGGTTGTTCCTGAGGTAGATGAGAAGGAGTTGGAGAAGATGGTCAACCCAATCGTACAGGAGTACTTTGAACACGGAGACACTAAAGAGGTTGAGGTAAATTCTCTCAGATTTTATGTTTTAAGTGTTTGCTGGTCAGATGTGGGTTTAGATCCCACAGTTCCTCCTCTTGGGTTTACAGCCGTGTTGAATTGTTGTGTGTCAGATGCTGCTGAAGGAGCTGAACCTGGGCCAGCACAAGTACGAGGTCACCTCTCTGGCTGTGTCCCTGTCCCTCGAAGGCAAAGCCAGCCACAGAGAGCTGACCTCCCGCCTGCTGTCCGACCTGTCGGGCAAGATGCTGACGCAGAGGGACATGGCCCACGCCTTCGATAAGATGCTCAAGGAGCTGCCGGACCTCATCCTGGACACACCGGATGCTCCTCAGGTAGAGCCGAAGACGAAGGAGCCAGAGCTTCGGATCTGTACTTGGTGTTGTTTACTCAGGAGGGTGGAGAGGCAAATGTAGGCGCTACGCCCGTCAAAGATTAAAGACTTGTTGGGTTTCTACTGCAGGTTCCAGCTTGAATTCACTCAGTCTTCTAACATTTCAGTGTATGTCAACTTTTGATGTATTGGTTTTAATAACCACTTGGTTTGAGGTTCAGAGGGAGCTCAGCAGAAACGAACTGTTTTGCCCTCAGTTTACTAAAACTACAACAGACAACTGATTACCTGAAGTTAAGATCTCACCGGCAGAGAAACACTGCTTTTTGTTCATAATAAAACACGTTGCAGTAGTTAGTGTTTTTTAATGCTACATAATTGTGACATGCTGGCAAACTGAGTCTCTAAATCAGTCGGTAATTATTTTTTCATCCTCTCATAAGCTTAGAAACGATTCGTAGTTCGTTTAAATTTGTTGTTTTATCACCGGACAACACAGTTTTTGATGGTCTGAAGTGATGTCATCAGCTCTTTATTCAAAAAGTGGAAGCCTCAAGTTTCACTTCGTTCAGCTTTTCATCTTCAGGGGTCACCACAGAGTCTTCCTCCTCCATCTCACTCCGTCCTCTGCATCCTCTATCCTCACTCCAACTACCTCCCATGTCCTTTCTAACTGCATCCATCTCTTTGTCTTTTTCCTGGCAGCTGCATTTCTAACATCTTTTTACCAATAATCCCCAGGACATCCTTGTATAAGAGATTAATAATCTCAATGGATTTCTTTCTTGGTTAAATAAAGGTTTAAATAAAATACCCACTGTCCCTCCTCTGGACATGTCCAAACCTTCTGGTCTGGCCTCTCTAACTTTATCTCCCAGTTGTTCAACCTGTGCTGTACCTCTTATGATCTCATTCCTAACTTTATCCATCCTTGTCACTCCTACAAAGAACCTCAACATCTTCATTTCTGCCACTTCCAGTTCTGTCTCCTGACTTTTTGTCTTTTTACCATCCTCACTGTTTTCATGGACAGTGAACCAGTACTGGACAAGTACTTGAAGTCCTGCACCTTTGTGACCTCTTCTCCTTGTAGCCTCACTGTTCCACCGACCTCCCTCTCATTCACACACATGTACTCTGTCTTACTATGACTGACTTTCATTCCTCTTCTTTAAGTGCATACCTCCACCTCTTCAAGTTCTCTTCCACCTGTTCCCTGTTCTCACCACAGATCACAATATCATCTGCAAACATCATAGTCCATGGGGATTCCTTCCTGACCTCATCTGTTAGTTGGTCCATCACCAGAGCAAACAAGAAGGGGCTCAAAGTCGATCCTTGATTCACTCCCACCTCCACCTTGAAGCTATATGTCACTCCTTCAGCACATTTCACCACTGTCCTGCTGTCCTCATACATGTCCTGTACCAGTCTAACATACTTCTGTCACTCCAGATTTCCTCATGCAATACCACCTCCTCCCTCTACACAATGGAGTTCTTTCTGACCCTCTCATCATGCATCATGTCAGCCAGCTCTCTACCTTTGCCTGTCATTGTCTCCACATTTAGTGTTTCAACCCTCAGTCCTACATTCTTGACTTTCCTCTTCTCCCTCTGTCTCCTGACACGTTTCCCTTTCAGCCGTCACCCTGTTTGTCAACAGCACTGGTGGCGGTCGTTGTTAACCCAGGCCTCGACCGATCCGGTTTGGTGATGCTTGGATGAACTTTGGAACATCAGATGTCCTTCCTAACACAACACTCACCAGTTACCAGGTCTTGGGACCAGCACAAGAGATGCACTGGCTTGTGCTCCCTAGCGGCTGGTTTAGCCTCAAGCTTCACAAATGATGCCAAATGTTTGTCAGTCCATTTTATGGACTCGTTCTTACACAGTTATGTGGAAAATGAAAACTATTCAGCAGAAGTCTCTGTAGCCTGATCTCGTTCTGTTCGCTGAGGTCACAGTCATGGAGTTGTATTACATTTCCAAGCCTTTGTAATTTGTGGACGCTTGATGTTCCTTTGTCTCCCAGATGTTGGGCCAGTTCATAGCCAGAGCCATAGCCGACCACGTCCTGCCCATGAGTTTTCTGGATTGTTATAAAGGCAGAGTGGACTGTGACCACTCCAGGTGGGCCAGCTCGAGTTCTTGTGCTTTGAACATGAAGTCTCTCCTCCGAGTGAAGAGCCTGGCATGTGACGTGGTTCTCTTTGTCCCTCAGGGTGGCTTTGGACCGGGCTGCAGTGTTGCTGACCATGAAGAGGGAGATGGTCCGTCTGGACAACGTTTGGGGTGTCGGTGGAGGTTTGAGACCCGTTAAACATCTCATCAAGGAGGTAAACTCAGAACAAACCGTGACGGTGTGCCATCTTTTAATTAATTTTATTTATTCTTTGTTTATCCAGGTAGTCTCATTAATCCACAAAGAGTCATTTTCAAGAGAGACTTGTTTTTTGGGAGCAGACGTTGGGGGTTGAGGGCCTTGCTCAAGGGCCCAGAGTGGGGCAAATGTGGGTGGAGGCAGATGTGGGTGTTTCACCTTTTCCACCCACATTTTGATGATGTCTGTCCGGGGAGTCGAACCAGCGACCTTCCGATCACAGGCCCACCTTCTCTAACCTCTGTGCTACCACTCCATTGTAGTAACAATCACAGGCGGATGAACTTTGTTCTTCTAGGTTCTGGTGTGACTACGAATTTTAATTCTAGTCCTTTAGTCCGTGACTGTTCTCAGTAGTCCCTCGTTTATTGTGGGTGTTAGGTTCCAAACCGCCCTGCAGTAAGTGACTATCCACGAAGTAGTGGCATTATATTTATATATATTTTAGAAGGCTTTAGAAACACTTCCCACACTCTTGCAATGTTCTAAACTCTTAAACCTACATCTGGAAACGTCTTCTGTTACAAATAAAGTCCAGATGTTTTTGTCTTGAACGTTTTTGAATTTATCATGTCCTGGATAACTGAGAATCTTCAACAGCTTAAACCTACATCGTTTTAACAACATATGTACAGTACTGTATATGTAGCTACTAAATTTTACTCACCAGCGGGGCAGAACAGCAGCGGCTCGGTTCTGGTCCGACTAGGTTCTGGTCCGACTCTGTTCCATTTCTGCAGACCTACCCTACAGTAACGAAGCCCACAATCAATGCTCTAAACTCTTAAACCTACTAATTTTAACAACATACTTATATGTAGCTAATAAATTGTACTTACGAGCACATCCTTGCTTGGAAGTTTTCCTGAGCCGGCTACCAGCTCTCGGGTTCACTGCTGAGTCTAGTGGTCAGGTTCTGCACTGGTTCTGGTCCAGTTCAGTGGGTTCTGTGCAGATCTCTGCATCCGCTGGGTGCCGAAGTCACTGTAAAAGCACCAAACATTTTCCGATCAGATCAAAACTTTCCCTCTAGTATTTCAACAGAATGAAATGGGGCTTCTGGGCGGGACACTGTTGGCTTCTGGGAAATGTGGTTGTTATGAGCGGGAATACAGTGTAGGCTTATCGAGAGGAAACCACAAAATGGCGGCTCCTGTCTGAAGTATTTTATTTTTTCATTAACTTTTTACTGTACAGTGTCCCGTACTGTCCCAATCAGTAATACTCGAGTAGTAATATTAAAATTATGAATATTATAAGTAGTGTTAAAGTATGAGTAATATTAAAGTTGACATTCATGTGTCCTGTACAATTATTTATTTTTCCTTGTGTTCAATCTTACTTTGAAAAACCACGATAGAGCGAGTGTGCGAACGTCGAACCGTGCAGTAGCGAGGGACACTGTTAGAAAGAGCGTGATCTCTGTTGTTGTTGTGACAAACTGAAGGCAGAAATGCATGCTGGGTAGAAATCCACAGGCCAGCTGAACTGCAGTGTCAGCAGAACCTCGTGTCCTCTGAGATTTGTAGAAATGAGAGCACGGGAGGGGCCAGCACGTTTATACACACACGCACACACACACCCCTTTGTTGTTGTGTTTTGTTCCCGTTGACTCTGATGTTTTGTGTAAAGTGGAAGTGTCTCATGCAGTTACTGGTTGCACAACCTTTATTCGTGCACGTATCTGGGTGTGTTGTGGCAGCGTGTCCTCCCTCTCAGAGCACGATGCCTTCAGACCTTTGGACTCGTCCACTCAGTTCTGGTTTTGTGCAACTTTAAAGCAAACTCGTTGATTGCAAAAAGTTTTGGACATTTGTAAGTGTCTCCTGGCAGGAACCAGAAGTCTTTGGTTAATCTGCGCAGATTATGTGGAAATGAAGCGTCTTGAAGATCAAACAACTCACAGTCTTAATGTTTTTTTAAAATAGTTGATAACTTTACCGCAGGTTATTGAGCAACAGTTGTTCTGTGAATTTCTGCCCCATTAAATACGGCGAGGTCTGTCCCTCGTGCACGATTTACTGAACAGTCATGCACGTGAGTGTTTCCTCTACTGTGATCCAAGGAGGGCGGCCCACCCCGATACAGAACCACCAGCCCCACTATGAAGACCACACATGTCAAAATTAATAAATTAATGAACGTCCATGCATGTTTGCATGTGTGTGTGTGTGTGTGTGTGTGTGTGTGTGTGTGTAACCTCACAGTACAGTTAATACTTAACCGTACTGTGAGGTAACCGTAATGTGATAAATGTAATAAAAATAAATTGTATTAGTCATTTAAAAGGCAAATCTAAGTGGACAAATGACTACCTGATGTGTAATTTTCAAAACTTCACCTTTATTTTTCATTCAACCTTTATTTATACTTGTTGGTCTCGCTGAGTATCGAGGCTCAAGCTGTATAAAGACAAAAACTCGTTCACTGTCACGTTTAGGAGTTCGTTACTGTCCTCACATTCAGACCTGAACGTCACGCGGTCATGTTTGAACATGGATGGTCCTTCCTGCCACTAAAAGTACTGGAACATTAAAAACATGGCTGCAGTACAGACAGACAGTCGTCAGAATCAGTGCAGAAGCTCTCGTTTATTTCTCATGTGTGTTTTATTTTCATATTTATTCATTTCAAGACGTCGTAACTGAAAATCTAAGAAGTGTTGTCACCTGACAGCCAGAAGTTTTGAGGGAAACGTGCGCACAGTCGTAATAAAACTGTTAAGAGCAAAACATAATTTTTAAAGTTAGGGGAAACTGGTTTTTAAAAACAGGAACAAAGATGGAGAAAACCAGAAATTGTAAACCATTTAGATCCCAGATTTGAACAGAAATGATTTCCTTCCAGGTTGAATAAAGAAATCTGGCCTACGTTTTAAGTTTTCATAGGTTTGTACACACTTGTCCTGCTCAGATGTTTCCTGTGGTGCCTCGGTGATGATGAGCGGCGTCTCCTTCAACGTTGTCCCTGTTTTACCGCTTGTGTTGCAGATGAACCTTCTTCTCAAGGAGTATCTGATCTCAGGAGACGTTTCTGAGGCCGAGCACTGCCTGCGGGACCTGGAGGTCCCTCACTTCCACCACGAGCTGGTCTACGAGGTACCGGACCCCGTGAGCAGGCTGTTCCTGCATCTTCTCCAGACTTTAATGCAGCATTTTTCAGTTTGTGAGATTTGGCTGCCTCCCTGTGCTTGAACGCACCTCACAGGTGTTTGCGCTGCTGTTTTGTCAGGCTGTGGTGATGGTGCTGGAGTCTAAAGGAGACACTGCCAGTCACATGATGATGAAACTTCTGCAGTCCCTCTGGAAGACGGGCCTCATCACTGTGGATCAGATGAACAGGGTTAGACCTGCTTTTAATCCGTCAGCTCCGAGTTCAAACGCGTTCCAAGAAGATTTAAACGTCCTCGTGTGTACTTGCAGGGTTTCCAGCGCGTCTACGACGAGCTGCCTGAAATCTGCCTGGACGTGCCGCACGCTCACTCCATCATGGAGACCTTTGTGGAGCTTTGCTTCAAGGAGGCGGTCATCACCAAACAGCTGAGGGACGCCTGTCCCTCTAGGTGAGTTGGGTTTGAAGCATCCACTTAACGAAGCCGCTCTTACAGATGGACGTGTTCTTGTTTCAAACTCTTGCTCCTCGTGGATGTAGATCGTGCACACAGACTTGTCAAAAAATTGGGATAAAATATGGATTAGCTTGAGGAAAATGCTAGGAAACGAGAGACCCAAAACATGTAAAACACTTTATTTGGAAACAATCTCACACATAATATAATATGAAAAGAGGATGAGTACTTTATTAAGATATTGTTAACGGCAAGTAAAAAAGCCATCACAAGAAAGTGGCATAAAGCAGATCCACTGACTGTGGAGCGGTGGCTGCACTGTGGAAGAGAGATTGGCAATGGAAACTCTCATAAAATAAGACTGCAAGAGGAGCAGTTTAATGAAAAATGCACTTATTATAGAAAGAATACACCACCTTCACAACTGGATAATGAGAACCCTGGAAAATTAACCATTGTTTAAGGATGTATACTGTATATACAGTAGTCTCTCGTTTATTGTGGGGGTTCAGTTCTGAACCCGCCCGCAGTAAGTGAAATTCAGCGAAGTAGTGTCGTTATATTTATTTTAGTATTGATATATATTTTAAGGCTTTAGAAACCCTTTCCACACTCGTGCACTGTTCTAAACTCTTAAACCTACATCACTTTAACAACATATGTATATGTACTGTATATGTAGCTACTAAATTTTACTTACCAGTGTGTCCCCGCTCGGAGGTCCTCGTCGGCCGGTTGAAAGACATGAAAAACGTGCCGTGAGCTTCAGATGGACTACCGGACCTTCAGCCGCACACGTTCGCTTGGAGGTCCACGTGGGCCGGCTACCAGCTCTCAAGATTCACTGATGGGTCTGGAAGTCCGGTCCGGTTCTGGTCTGGTTCCCTGTGGCTTCTCTGCATCCGCTCGGATCAGATCAAAACTTTCCCTCTAGTTCAGCAGAATGAATTGGGGCTTCTGGGCGGGGCCATGTTGCCTTCTGGGAAATGTAGTTGTTATGAGCGGGAATATAGTGGAGGCTTATTGAGAGAAAACTACAACATGGTGGCGCCTGCCTGAAGCATTTTATTTTTTCGTTAACTTTTTACTGTACTGTATCCAGTACTGTCTCAATCATGTGAGTAATATTAAAGTTGACAATCGTGTCCTGTACAGTTTTGTTTTTTGTATGATATTATGGACACAAACCGCGATAGAGCACATTCGTGAAAGTCGAACCACGAAGTAGCGAGGGACTACGGTATTATACTTCTACACTGTAACTGTTCTAAGAAAATTTCAATCAAAAATAAGTTGCAACAAAAAATGGTTGCGCCTTTTTGGTGAACCTGGTCCAGTTTCAAGGTGTTCACGTCTTCACACTGACCGTCTTTAAATGTAGAGAACAAATATAGGAGTCACAAATAATCACGAAACTTTTCACCACGAGAAGGGCGATAATGTATTTAAAATCTGCTACTTGATAAATCTGTCTAAACTGGACCTTCCCTTAGAACCTGTAAGGACCAGAGTGACTCGTAAAAACCCAGAAGTGAAAGAGGCAGGACGTGTTGTTGTTTAAGATGCACTAATATTAGAAGATGGTTTTGTGTGTGTTTAATTCCTGGACAGTCACTAATAATCTCGAGTTACTCCTCTGAACCTCTGCTCTGTCCACCAGAGGGCGGAAGCGGTTTGTGAGTGAAGGAGATGGCGGGCTGATCAAGAACTAATCCACCTGAGGAGCGGCAGGAAGAGGAGGGTGCGTCTGTCCGTGCACCGTTTTCTACATCTGAAGCCGAGTTCGCTCCTCCCCTGACGGTCATTACTCAAACCAGCATTTGGGTTCAGCTGCCGCGCGGCCTGGACGTTCACTTCTTCATCTCGTTCTTCAGTTTGTCACCGTTGTTCTGAAGGAGGCTCTGGATCTGTGGGCTTCATCAGACCCTGGCTGCCTCAGTCTTTCTACCTGGAACACCTGTGATGTCAGGTGTGCACGCTGCGTGGTGCGCAGCGTTTGGGATCTTTTGGAGGGGGTGGGTTGAATCATGTTTTTCGGGGTTTTTTTTTTTTGTTTTGTTTTCCTGCGTCTCATCTTCTTTCCTGCAGGATCCGTGGAGGCTGAGGGAGCATCCTGTACGGGAGCTCAGCTGCGAGGATTAAACCTGTTCACTGCCACACATTACTGAAATAATTTCCAGGAAATTGTTCTTTGTACATTTGTTCATTTGGTTTGGTCACTCTGTAAAGTTCCACACGGGAGGTGCTCGGTCCGTTTCAAACGCATTAAAGGAAATCCACTTCAGAAAACAGTTCTGAAAAAACGGGGGTTATTATTTGTAAAATGGTGATTATATAATAAATAAACAAAAGTATTTTGAAAAAAAATATATGATTTTTGCTTGAGAATGACTAATGTACATGTAGTGACTTGGTCAGTGCATGATTTTACACTGTAGGTGAATAATGTCCTCTGACTCAGCTGGACGTGGTTTGATGTCAATCAGACGTCTTCCAGCTGTCCAACATTTGAGGACGCCGTCTGTCTGAAACGTCTCTACCCCCAGAGACAGGTTGACATGCTGACCAAAGTCCTGTCCCACTTCTAATCTTTCATTCAATAAAAAGGCAACAAAGCTGAAGTTTCTGCCTTCCTGTTCTTCAGAATAACCTTGAAGCTAAAACAGGCTTCCATTACAGACATGTCTGAAGATAACTTTCATATGATTTTATATATATACAGATGCTATTCAAAATATTTGAATAGCATGAAAAAGTTGATTTATTTCAGTAATTCTATTCAAAAGTTAAACTTGTATATTACAAATATTTATTTATTTTAATGTTGATGATTATAACTGACAACTACTGAGAACCCCAAATTCAGTATCTCAGAAAATTAGAACATTAAGTACTCAATACTTAGTTGGGGCTCCTTTTACCTGGATTACTGCAGCAATGCAGCGTGGTATGGAGTCTATCAGTCTGTGGCACTGCTCAGGTGTTCTGAGAGCCCAGGTTGCTCTGATAGTGGTCTTCAGCTCTTCTGAATTGTTGGGTCTGATGTATCACATCTTCCTCTTCACAATACCTCAAATATTTTCTATGGGGTTATGGTCAGGTGACTTTGCTGGCCATTTAACAGGGATACCATGGTCCTTAAACCAGGTACTGGTAACTTTGGCACTGTGTGCAGGTGCCAAGTCCTGTTGGAAAATGAAATCTGCACATCCATAAAGTTGGTCAGCAGCAGGAAGTGCTTTAAAATTTCCTGGTTGCGTTGACCTTAGACCTCAGAAAACACAGTGGACCAACACCAGCAGATGACATGGCACCCCAAACCATCACTGACTGTGGAAACTTGACACTGGACCTCAAGCAACATGGATTCTGTGCCTCTCTTCTCTTCCTCCAGACTCTGGGACCTTGATTAAAGAAGGAAATACAAAATTTACTTTCGTCAGAATATAACTGGACCACTCAGCAGGAATCCAATCCTTTTTGTCTTTATCCAAGGCGAGACGCTTCTGACGCTGTCTCTTGTTCAAGAGTAGCTTGACACAAGGAATGCAACAGCTGAAACCCATGTCTTGCATACGTCTGTGCGTGGTGGTTCTTGAAGCACTGACTTCAGCTGCAGTCCACTCTTTGTGAAGCTCCCCCACATATTTGGAATGGGTTTTGTTTCACCATCCTGTCCAGGGTGTGGTTATGCCTATTGCTTGTACACTTTTTTCCTACCACATCTTTTCCTTCCCTTCGCCCATTCTATGAATGTGCTTGGACACAGAGCTCTGTGAACAGCCAGCCTATTTAGCAATGACCTTTTTTGTCTTGCCCTCCTTGTGCAATGTGTCAGTAGTCGTCTTTAGGACAACTGTCAAGTCAGCAGTCTTCCCCATGATTGTGTATCCTACAGAACTACGCCCATTTTTCAGACGACTGTATGTACATATTCGCGTTGTACCTTGGTGCAATTCCAATAAAATTTATTCTGATTCTGAACTAGACTGAGAGACCATTTAAAGGCCTTTGCTGGTGTTTTGAGTTAATTAGCTGATTAGAGTGTGGCACCAATTGTCTTCAATATTGAACCTTTTCACAATATTCAAATTTTCTGAGTTACTGAATTTTGGGGTTTTCATTAACTGTCAGTTATAATCATCAAACATTAAAAGAAATAATTTTAGAAATATATCAGTCTGTGTAATGAATAAATAGAATATACATGTTGCACTTTTTGAATGGAATTACTAAAATAAACTTTTTCATGACATTCAAATTTTATGACCAGCATATGTGTGTGTGTGTGTGTGTGTATATATATATATATATACACACACACACATACATACACATATCCTTAGAGTCAAACTGACTTATACTGCCATCAAGTGGTCAAAAAAGGTACTAAACCCTTGGCTTATGGATAATTCTTGCTCTTTTCTAGTATTCAGAGTCTCTTTATTGTTCGCACCACATGTGGTGCATGTGGTGCGAACTAAATTATGTACACACGGTTCCAATTACATTCAACAATAAAATGTATGAACTAAGAAAAACGATAACTTAAAAATACACTAAGCACTAGTATTACAAAAAATACGCCCAACAGCACGAACATGAGTCTGAGCAGATTGTAATGCCTGTAGTGGTTTTGTAATTTTTATTAATAATAATAATTACAAAATTTTACAAAGCTATATATAATGTTTATGATAACCATGTTTTATGTGCTCTGTCATTTATAACTCCCAGTGTTCAGATTGTGACGAGACTTTTACGTTTTAAAGCAGCAATAATTAAAATGATCACTAACCGTGACATAAATACAGACGTTGCATACTTTATACATGAGCATTATGAGATGTTTCAACATAAACACATTAAATTATTAGGACTAAAATCAACTGCATTGTAGCTTTTTATGATTATTTAGCTATATCTCTAAAAGAAGACACAATTCTTCATGTAAATGTGAAAACATGAAAGTAAAAAGTGACTGTTCTGGGAAGAAAGAAACAAGAATGCTCAAATAATCATCTCAAATTATATTTGATTTATATCCCGTTCAAATAGCCACAGTTTGACATGTTAAATTTAATTATTTAGTTAATTTTAGTTTTTATATCCCAGGTGTGAATGCTTTAAAGGTATTTTTACTGCGAGGAATATTATTTTAAATGTGTAGTTACAATTTTTATTTTTTGTTTAATGTCATTTACAGCAGCCAACTGAAGTTGAAAAACACTAAGGTTCAAGGTTCTTTATTGTCATTTGCATAGTACTTCTACTCAAGGTACCCAAAATAGCAATAATATAAACTTTATAAAAAACAGTAAACAAGGATCTAAGATATACAGTAAACAGTAATAATTAATGTTATAATGTGTATTAAACAGCAGCCTGAACATGAGTCTGTAGTGAGCAGATGGGTATGATTATGGCAGTTTATGGGTAAGAAATCGGCTGCATACACGTCTCTGGGTCAGTTTGACACACATTGGGTGGTCGCAGCTGAGAGTCATTCCCAACAGCACTCCCGAGTGCTACTCGTGGCACAAGATTCTTATTTAAACGTTTAATATTTAACACGCGTTGAGACAACTCAGTCAGTCCAAAATGGCTGCCACAGCTAATCAGAGTCAGAGATTATTTATTGTCATTCGCACCTCATGTGGTACATGTGGTGGAGCGAAATTATGTACACAGGGTCCCAGTTACATCCAACAATAAAATGTAAAAGAAAAACAGTGATAACATCTAAGATATGAACTAAGAAAAACATCAACTAAATATACACTAAGCACTCACAACATAAAACATTGAACATCAGCACAAACATGAACATGAGTCTGTGAGCAGATGTGCACGCATGAACACATCAACATTGAAACAGATCAGCAGCAACATGAAACAGATCAGCAGCAACATGATGTGATTTTTCACAGTGATTATTCTAGTTAAAGATTCATAAGTCTAACAGCCTCAGGGTAGAAGATGTTCCTCAGTCTAGTGGTTCTACACTTAATGCTCCTCAACCTCCTTCCTGAGGGGAGCAGGGCAAAAAGTGTGTGTGCTGGGTGAGTGGGGTCCTTCATGATGCAGGTGGCTCTCTTCCTGCATCTAGAGGTGTAGATGTCTGTGATGGTGGGGAGACTGACTCCGACAGTCTTCTGTGCAGCCTTCACCACGCTCTGCAAAGCTTTTCTTTCTGCAGCTGTGCAGCCTCCATGCCACACGTTGATGCTGGAGCACAGGATGCTCTCCACTGCACACCTGTAGAAGGAGGTGAGGACTGAGCTTCCCAGACCAGCTCGCCTCAGCCGCCTGAGGAAGTAGAGTCTCTGATGAGCTTTCTTGATCAGGCTGGTGGTGTTGTTGCTCCAGCTGAGGTTGTCATTCAGGTGTACACCCAAATACTTGTAGCTGGAGACCACTTATCAACCTTTAGTCATACAGATCCCAAGCTATTGCTTGATGTGGTAGTAGCTGAGAGTCATCCTCAACACCCTGTATGAGACCTCACCTCAACAAAGTTTGACCAAAACAACTAAAACTTTGTCCTTTCTCATGAAAATATGAGGTTTGACATTAAAGGCAACGGACATCATGCATTTCTTCAAGGAAGAGCAAGCCTTTAAAAGTGGTTGACAGTGGTTTCATTAAATGGTGAAACGTTATGCCATAAAGTAACCAGAGTTGTTTGTAAATACTGTATGATAATGGTAAAAAAAAAAAAGACTTCCAAAATGAACAGCACTGGTTTAATTATATGGTAAAATTATCTTCCATACAGAGGTGTGTGTTCAATATATGGTACAACAGACTGCCTCAATTTGTAGTCCACGTCAGTAAGGAAAACTAACAAGGAAGTAGCTAACTAGTTAGCACGAGGACCATGAGCGCCTGACAGCCAGGTGTTTCGACAGGTTGGTGACACTTTGCTCAATGAACTTTCAGCTAGAACTACCTGATCAACCCATGCGCGTGAGCTGCGGGGCTAACTGACGTCACCGTTTCGGTTATAAGTGCTTTGTTGTAGCCGCAGCAGGCAGCGCGTGCGACCTGAACGCACAAGTGTCGCGCACATAGCTGTGTTAAATTCAACAATAAAACAAATTAATTTTAAACGTGGCTAGAGTCCAACACACTTGGAGGACACCTGGACCACCGGAAACGGCTGCAGGTTCAATAATCAGAATCTAGAAACTGAGGTGAGCGGCCATGTTTCTCGGTGTCCTGCTGTGCAGAACAGATTGAGACATCACCTGCGGCTCACCTGGTCTGAATTACGTAATCAGCTGCTGATGAACACCAGGGCTTACATTGGAACCCGTCCAGTGGGTCAGGAGGTATTTTGCTAACAGTCAGGGTTGACTCCGACAGGTAAATGGGACATTTTAAACAGATCAGTGTGAGCTCAGAGGACGTGCTGGGGGTAATGCTCAGCTACTACCACACCAACAGCCGTTTCTGGGTTGGCCAAGGTTGCTTTGCTGTGGCGGCCATCTTGAATTGGACTGACTCCCAACGGCTAACCAGTTGTGCATCCAATGAATGTTTTACAAAAGTTTAATTAAAATCCATCCAATAGTTAGGAGATATTTTGCTAACACAAGCAGATGGACACAGGTTTGATCACCATTTTTCCTCAGGCGGCAGGTGCTAACTAAGAGCTGAAGCAGAACCCAGGAGTTGCTAATCCAGTGATGAGCTGATGCTGCTGTGTCGGACCTCCTGAAGTTTCTGCAGGGTCAGGTCAGGCTAACGCTCAGAGAACCTTCTAAAGACATGTCCGGCATGTAAACATTCAGGTCCATCAGGCCCGGACAGAATGAGACTGAAGCAGAGACTTCTGCTTCTAAAGCTCAGCCTGTTCTCCAGTACGGTGGTGGAGGTGTTATGGTTTGGGCTCAAGTAGCTCTCTTGTTCAAATTAATCAGACAGGAACAATTAAAACACGTCTGAAGCTTCCACTCAGTTCATGAAGCTCAAGTCAGCTGCCTAACAGCAAGGTGTGAGGTGTCTTCATGTCTGTGTGGCACGGTGGTGGAGGTGTCACAGTGTGGGCTGGTTGTTCTGCATCGGGGCTATAATAATGGCTTCATAAGTGATGAAACAGTTAAGGACCTTTCATGTTCAGAACGTCTTTCTGCAAAGTGAGGAAGACAAAAGCAGTTATTCCAGAAACACAGGACTCGTTCTGCTGAAGAAAGAAGAGTTTCAGAACCGTCACCCATTGAATCCCGTGGACGTGATACTTAAGGACCTGACCCTGCATGTGTTCTGTTAGAGGCTCAGGTACTAAATGACCTGACCCTGCATGTGTTCTGTTAGAGGCTCAGGTACTAAATGACCTGACCCTGCAGGTGTTCAGTTAGAGGCTCAGGTACTAAAGGACCTGACCCTCCAGGTGTTCAGTTATAGGCTCAGGTACTAAAGGACCTGACCCTGCAGGTGTTCTGTTAGAGGCTCAGGTACTAAAGGACCTGACCCTGCAGGTGTTCAGTTATAGGCTCAGGTACTAAAGGACCTGACCCTGCAGGTGTTCAGTTATAGGCTCAGGTACTAAAGGACCTGACCCTGCAGGTGTTCAGTTATAGGCTCAGGTACTAAAGGACCTGACCCTGCAGGTGTTCAGTACTGGACTGAGCTCTACAAACCACCAGGAGGGGTTGTTACAGGAAACCTTATCTCTGATCATTCTCTGCTGTAGAACAACCAACACTCTGCGTCCCAGAGTGTCGTCTTGGTGCTGCTGCAGTTTCAGGCTAGCGGAGCGCGGTTAAAACAGGAAGTTCTACCTGCACGGTGGAACAGCTCATTACAGAAACAACACTGATGCTGAACGCTGCCACAACAACTGTTCACAAATGCCAAACCACTTTTGATGTAAATCAGTGTCACGGACTACTCTGTCCTCCAGAAAGCGCACGGGCGATTTGTCATCTCTAAAACATCTTTGTGCTCGTGGTGCATTAAAAGGATTTAACTGGGTTTGGACAGAGTTAAAAACAGACACTTTGTTGTTCAAATGTCATGAACTTGGTTCCAACTGCACAGGATAAATTAACTGGGTGCAGACTGAACAGAAAATGTGTCACATACTGATGATGTCACAAACTGGAATGATGCTGTGAAAACTATTGTTACGTTGTCTAAAAAAGTTCAATCTGGTCCTCTCGACATTCAAAAAAAAAAAAAAACAAAACAAAGCAAAAAAATATATAGAAACGTTTCGTCTCTCTATATTTTTTTTTGCTTTGTTTTGTTTTTTGTTTTTTTGAATGTCCAGAGGACCAGATTGAACTTTTTTTTTTATTTTTCTACCTGGATTATTGAGCATGCATCAGGATATTGTTACGTGTCATTTTGTATTAAATGATTTTAACGTCATAAAAAATAAGAAATGTGACAGCAGGAAGTAGTTGATGGAGGAATTCGTGAATGAGTCAGAGACGCTTACAACTCAGTTCTCTGGACGGGTTCTTTGTGGACCTGACTCCACCTGGTTTGATTTATCCACCTGGACGGTTGAGCGTGTGTCGGGACGTTGTACTGTTTGGTTAACTTGACGTGCTGAACCTAAACCAGTCAACGAGTCAGGTTTCACTCATCTTTATGAAACACAGGTGAAGAAATCCTGCTGGACTGTTGCTCATTATTCTTGTGAACTACTGGACAGATGATGTAATTACTGGATGTTTGTTTATAACCGACTACCGTATTTTTTGCCGTAAATGACTCACCACCCTATAAGTTGCATCAGTCCAAACATGTCTAATAAAGTGGAAAAGTCAATAATTGTGTCGCATCTATTACGCGTCACTGCTGACAACCTGAAAATGTTTGCTGAACCCGGAAATGTGGGCCGGTGTTGTGCCAAAAATCGATTGGCTGCCAAATGGGAGCCGCGGGAGTGTGCACGAGAGGACTTTAACAAGAATCTAACAAGATAACCACCTAAAACAATTATTTGTTTGGTCGACTTTGTAGTAAAGGTGCGTCTCAGTTGAACTTTTACTTAATAAAGGCACTTCGATTGTCAAATCAGCTGCATTTCGTTGGGGCGGTGCAACGAAATAAAGTTGATTTGACGGTTGCTCCAGGCAGACGACAGTGGCAGGCTGTGGCAAGCTGATTTTATCATTAATAGCCACTTTTACCAATTACATGATACAACGGCATGCCATACTGCTCGAGTGCCATCTAGCAGCTGTAAATGGTAGTGTTCAATATTTTCAGTCAGAATGAATGAAAACGGTCATACTTCAGCCAATATGGGGAAAATCCATAAATACGTGGCTTCAGCGTATAAGTCGCAGGGCATGTAAATTATGCAAAAAAATAAAACGACTTATAGGGTGAAACATATGGTAACATCTGGATCCAACTCAACACGGCCCCCTCAGCTCACAGACATGAACACAAACAGCTCGAACACCACCTGGGCGTGGCAGCAGCTGAGAGTGGTTCCCTGCAGGTCCTCGGAGTGCAACACCTTGCAGCTACGGCTCCTTCATTTCTCCATGTGAGACGGTCTTTGTGTAAAACTGGTGTTGAGGTGGGCGATATGCATTCACATTCATGTGCACGTGGATGACTGAGCTTCATGAAGCTTCAGGATTATTTGCGACTTTCCTTAAGTTCTGTGAGCTTCATAGATAGATCATTACTTCTGACTTTGTGTTGCAAAACTTTCCCTCCATTTCAACAGAAAGCAGCGGCCAAAAGAACTGTTGGCTTCTGGATAGTGCAGTTCTTTTTGACTGGCGTTACACTCTAGGCTTATTGAAAGGAAACTACAAAATGGCGGCGCCTGTCCGAAGTAGTGTTTTTATTTATTTTCGTAACATTTTATCACGTACCGTCCCAATCACGTGAGTAATATTAACGTTGACAATCGTGTGTCGTGTGCAATCTTACGTTGAACAGCCACGAAAAAAGAGCGAGTCCGTGAAAGTTATATCGCGACGTAGCGAGGGACTACTGCATGTCTCTAGTTCCACCTTAATTAATGTCTTAATACAACAAGCTTTCCACAACTGTCCATAAAAATATAATAAACTTCTTTTCTGAGCCTTTCCCTCGTTGTTTATGGTGTAATACATAAATGTTTATGCTAACCTTCAGTATGTTGGTCCTGTTGGTACTTTCAGAAGGCAGGATGGGCCGGCAGAGGAAGAGGGTGCTGACGGGCGATGCTGCTCCACCTCCGAGGAAAGATGAGAAGCCTCCCTCGTTTCACCGCAAGGACAAGAAAAAGAAAATGGACATCGGAAAGGTCTTCATCAACATCTCCATCGGCCTCTGCGTGTTCAGCCTCATCTGGTTCTTTTACGCCGTCTACATGCGGTCCAGTCTGGCCAAGCGGGTGGTGGCTCCACACCCATCCCCTCGGGTCCTGGACGCCAACAGCAGCAGCGCCGAGGTTTCCCCGGACAGGTTCTGGGGCTCGTACCGGCCTCAGGTCTACTTTGGCATGAAAACAAGAAGTCCCCGGTCGGTTGTGACAGGTAGCTGACGGTGTCTTCTAATGAAATGCTCATAATTACTGACGGAAAGTCGTTTTTATGAAGCTTCAGCACAGCAGCAGCAAATGTTTGGCTTGGTTCTGGATGTGTAATGGACCATACTCACTTTATGCTCATATTTTACAGGTATGATGTGGATGCGTCAGTTTGCAGACGTGGACATGAGTCTGAGGCACACCTGCGAGCAGGGCGATCATTTGCAAAGCTATGGCTGGCTCATGCATGACGGACTCACCTTCGGCGTCCAGGAAATACGAGACAACGACTTCACGCTGACCACGGAGTTTGTTAAAAGGCTCGGAGGGGTTCATGGAGGAGACTGGACCTGGAGGATCACAGCCAAGCAACATGTGCGTTGTAGCTGTGAACCCACCGTGTGCTCAGCGACCTCCCAGCAGGTCCAAACGATGCTCTGACTTAATAATTTGTTGCCTTGTTGCAGAGCTCTGCTCCCCGGCCGCCCGTCATTTCTCTGATGTTCTACGCAGCAGCAGACATGCAGGGCTCGCTGCAGGCTCACGTAGAGGAGAGGAGTCGCCTCGCCTCCATCACTGGGTTTTCAGAAGAACTGGGAAACTTCAAGATGAGCTTCAGGAAGCCTGTGACCGGGGAGTCCAGCACAAAGTACGCCAGGTAAGTTCACAATGTGGACAAAACTAGAGCTGCATGAAGGAACCATGTCACCTGCTACCCTGCATTAAACACAGAGGATGTGTGGTCTGTTGGTGCTCAGCCTATATGAGTGAGATGACTCTCAGCTACTACCACAGCAGATTATAGCTCAGTATCTGTAAAACAACCCGGGTTTAAGTTATTTTTCTATTTGCTAAGGCTCACTCCAAAGGTTTATTAGCTGTTTATGCATGCGTTTGCTAAGAGTTTTATTAGAATCTGTCCAGTGTTTGATTAGATATTGTGCTAACAGACAAACACAGGTTCAGACGATTGCCTGCCCTTCATGGAGGGTCGATGATAACAAACCTGTAGCTTGTAAACATTAATGATATACGGTAGTCCCTCGCTACTTTGCGGGGGATCCGTACCCTGAAGCCCCGCGATAAGTGAAAAACTGCGAAGTAGGAATAGTAGTACAAGTAGTAAGTAATAATTTATTTTAGTATATATAAAATGCGTTTTAAACCCTTCCCACACTCTTGCAATATTCTAAACAATGTTTCTAAACTGTAAATGCGCTAAAAGAGCACAGAATGTCATGAAGTCAGCTCTCGGCCACGCCCACTTCTCTGCTACAGAACGGAGATCGACAGAGGAGGAAGGAGGAGGCGCAGGAGGAAGTTTCTCCTGCAGTGTGGGCTGCACACAGGTGCAGCAGGTGCTAAATAATTTATTTTCAATAAAAAGTCCATATCGATCGTGCGGCTCATCCGTCAATCTCCAATTGTGTGTCATGTCCAATATTACTTTGAAAAACTGCGATAGAGCCACTCCACGAAAAACGAACCGCGAAGTAACGAGGGACTACTGTATAAAGAATAAAGTGCTTGTAACAAGGGAGCTAAAGTCTGTTGTAGATTAAAACATTTTGAACAAGCCAAAGATTGCAGCATTTTGCAGTTTTCTTCACTTCCAGACGTTTAACTTTATTCAAACGTTTAAATGGTTTTTGTATCAAGGCAGTAATAAACGCCCTTTTACAGACGAGCATAAAACAACTTCCATTTCAACAAACATGAATGTCTAAACGTAACAACTTACTAAATCATTAATCGCAGATATTGTATGAAGAAATCCAGACATTTAAAGTCAGAGGATGTTTTTCTGTGGGGGCCGTTTGTTGCATGAGTCCAGACCACGACTGGATGAGAAAAAACAAGAAAGTAAGAATCACTAGATGGCAGCAGAAGAGAACGTGAGCGTGTGTTTTGTTTTGCAGGAGTCTGAAGTTTGGGATTGTTTTAAATGTTACTTTTGTAAAGACAAATAAAACCCGAACAGCATTTAACTCGAGTTCTTTGTTGATGAATGTTTCAGTTACAACTACCTCCAGGCTGTGTCTCCAGGCCTGGAGAAGCTCACCGACATCGTGAAGCTCAGTCTGAACAGCAAGTTTGTCTTCAGCCCCCCCTCCAGTGACAAGAGGCATTACGTAGGTCTCGACACCTACAGGCCTCCCCACCACCAAAACCAGCAGAAACCCGCCGACCCAAGGAAAGAAAGCGACTTTGTGGTTCACCAGGTGACGGTGCAGCTGCCGTTCCAGGTGGAAGTTTTGTTTGAGTCGGGAAGCTTCTACAACCGGCCCGACCAGCTGGTGGGCTCCGTGATGACGGAGGAGCTGGAGAGGAGGAAAGCTGAGTTCAACGCAAAGTTTGAGAAGATCTTTGGGCTTGAGAGCAAAGGTTTTAACCAGGGACAAATTAAATTTGCCAAAGCGGCCCTCAGCAACATGCTGGGTGGACTGGGTTACTTCTATGGCCAGTCAGTGGTGCAGTCAGTCTACAATGAATACCCGCTGCTGTACCCTGAAGGGGCTTTGTTCACCGCCGTCCCGTCACGCTCATTCTTCCCCAGGGGTTTCCTCTGGGATGAGGGCTTTCACCAACTCCTGCTGAGTAAGTGGGATCCCCAGGTGACAAGGGAGGTGGTCGCCCACTGGATCGACTTAATGAATGTGGAGGGCTGGATCCCTCGGGAGCAGATCCTGGGAGACGAGGCTCTCAGTAAAGTCCCAGCTGAGTTCGTTGTTCAGAGGAACGAGAACGCGAACCCTCCGACTCTCTTCCTGGCTCTTCAGGAACTTGTTGAACAGCTCTCCTCTAATCCAGACGAGGCAGCAACCAAGCAGACCCTGCCGTTCCTTCGAAGGCTTTTCCCCAGGCTAAAAACCTGGTTCGAATGGTACAACACCACGCAGAGCGGGCCCCTCCCCAACTCCTACCGGTGGCGTGGGCGGGACAAGGACACCAACCTGTTCCTCAATCCCAAAACCCTAACCTCAGGACTGGATGACTACCCACGGGCCTCACACCCCTCAGCAGACGAGCGGCACGTGGATTTGCACTGCTGGATGGCCTTGTCCTCGGCCATCATGGCTAGCATAGCTAAACTTCTAGGTGAGCCGTATGAGGACTACAAACACCTACACACCGTGCTGAGTGACAACAAGCTGCTGAACGAGCTGCACTGGTCAGAACAACACGCTGCTTTCAGTGACTATGGCAACCACACAAAAGCTGTGTCCCTGCAGAGGGAGAAGGTGTATGTACCTCCAGGACAACCGCGGCACCAGTTCCCTGTGGCACGCCTCGTGCGCTCGGTCCGCAGGGCTCCTAAGCTGCAGTACGTTAACGCTTTGGGCTACGTTAGCTTGTTCCCCTTCTTACTGCAAATCCTCGAAGCGGATTCACCCAAACTGGAGCACATCTTTAACGCTATTAAAGACTCCAGCAAGCTGTGGACTCCCTACGGCCTGCGCTCGCTCTCCAAGACCGATTCTCTCTACATGCAGCGAAATACAGAGCACGACCCCCCCTACTGGAGGGGGCCGATATGGATTAACATCAATTACTTGGCGGTCAGAGCCCTCCACCACTACAGCACCACAGAAGGGCCATACCAAGGGAAGGCAGCTACTCTTTATCAGGACCTCAGGACTAATATCATCAATAATGTTTATAACCAGTATGTTGAAACGGGCTACGTCTGGGAGCAGTACAATGACAGCACTGGCAGGGGTCAAGGCTGCCACCCATTCACTGGCTGGTCTGCGCTCACAGCCTTAATGATGGCTGAGCATTACTGATACTGTTCCTTGAGTTGAAGTGTCCCTGAGGGTGCAGCCCTCAGTCAGACACACGGTTTTCAGGTAACATCGACTGTTAACACACATTTGACAAAAACAAGAGGAATTTGTCATCATCGTGTTTGTTCATCAGCCCTTTAATTAAAATCTGTTTTTACACATGTAGGTTCAGCTGCTCTGTCTAAAGGTGCTGCAGTTAAACCAAGCTTTTATTTTCTTTAAAACTAAATGCAGGACGTCTTCGCCGTGTTTCACTTGAATCAAACAGAACTGCATATTTAAACTGGCTGAAGCAAATTTTGTTTTCAGACTTAAAGAACGAACGTTTTAACAAGTGTTGGGGAAGTTATTCAGGTTGTTCTTTAACTAAAAGCCATTATCGGTAATTCTGCCATTCCCTCAATAATCAATGACTCGTCTGATCTTTCTGTCTCAGTCATCAATGGTTTTGTTGTGCCTGTTGACAAAGTGTTCTTCTTGGCTCTCGTTTCTAAAATCACTGTTTCTCAAAGTAAACATTTTGTGTACAGTGTCTGGCAGGAATAAAACTACATTTTGACTTGCTTTCCAAAAACAATAAACAATTTAAATAATTATTTTGTCCAATTGTCCTTTTTTCTTCAGATGTACCTGATAATGTTGTAAACAAAATGTGTATTGAATCCTGAGCTTTGACCTTACTGTCAGTAGTTGTAGAAAATACTTTTTTAAATTAATATTTACAAGTAGAATACCCATAACTTGATCTGTTGGACTATGAGCCTAAATAAAAGTTAAACATGCAATTTGTCATTTGTTTATCTTTGTTTTTGTCACGTAAATTCATGATTTCACAGTTTTACGACAAAATCAGATGTTTTTAATAAAGAATAGTCACCACCAGTTTGCAGGGTTATGTAAATACAACCTAAAATGAAAATAGAACTAGAGATAAATAGTGAAGAATAAAACAACAAAGTCCATGCGCAATAATCCAGGTATACAATCCAACATTTTTCAGTCAGGTCATCTGGACAATTTCTTTTTTTTTGTGCTGAAACGTTTTGCCTTCGGTCCGGAAGGCTTCATCACTTAATGAAACGCACAACAAAACTGATTCCTCCTCCAACAGCTTACTCCAAAGTGGAACAAACCAGTTCTGCTTGTGATAAGATGGTCTCACTTTGGAGTAAGCTGTTGTGGGAGGAATCAGTTTTGTTGTGTGTTTCCTTGACTGATGAAGCCTTCCGGACCGATGGCAAAACACTTCAGCACAAAAAAAAAAGAAACTGTCCAGATGACCTGACTGAAAAATGCTGGAGTGAAAAATAAAACTTCAAGAGTTATTCTACACTAAACCATCCAATGCTGTCTGGCCAAACTCTCCCCTGCTACTACCCTACAGTCTCCAATCTCCCTCAGGTTTCCTCTTCTACACAAAATGTAATCAACCTGTGTACTCCATCCTCCACTCTTGTAGGTTACTCTATGTTACTCCTTATTTTAGAAATATGTGTTGACTACAGCCATTTCCATTCTCTTGGCAAAATACACCACCATCTGTCCTTCATGGTTTCTTTCCTTGACACCAAACCTGCCCATCACTTCCTCATCCCCTCTGCTTCCTTCACCAACATGTCCATTCAGGTCTGCTCTGATCACCTCTTTCTCCTTGAGAATACTCTCCATCACTTCATTCAGATCCTTCCAAAATGTTTTTCTCTCCTCCACATCACATCCAACCTGTGGAGCATAACCACTGACAACATTTAGCATCAGACCTTCTACTTCTGTCTTCAGACATGTCACCCTATCTGACACTCTTTTCACCTCTACTACATTCTTTGCCAACTCCTCCTCAGGACCACCCCTACTCCATTTTTTTAACTTACTTTACTTCTTTCTATCCACATCATGGTAAAACAGTTTGAACCCTGCTCCAATGCTGTGAGCCGTGCTGCCCTTCCACTTGGTCTCTTGGACACATAAAACATCTACCTTCCTTCTCTGCATCATGTCGGCCAACTGTCTACCTTTGCCTGTCATTGTCCCCACATTTAGAGTGTTCAACTAACAGTAGCACAATTTCCACCGGCACCCTGTTTGTCAACAGCACCAGTGGAGGTCGTCGTTAACCCAGGCCTCAACAAACACAACCTTCACCATTTACCCGTGCTTGGAACCGTCACCAGAGATACACTGGCTGAGCTGTATTTCTTTTTATTAATATTTTTTATTTATTTGAGGGGTGGACACTCTACATGTATTATCTAAGATAATTCTCTTCAGGTTATTGAAGTATTTTGAGGCAAAATTCAAGTGTATCTGTAAAATGTTCAAAGCCCAGATACCTACAGTAATTCATGCAACAGAAAGAGTAATCTTAAAGCCAAATGTATAGAAAATAAGTAGAAAATGAAACACCAAGAACTCTTTGAAGCTACCTTTCATGTCTAAGGTTTAAACTGACATCATCTTTTGATGAGAATGAACACAGCTGTTTTGATCAAACCATAGAATATTGTTGTGATCAATCTCCTGCGATATTTAAAGTCTCCCATGAGATGTCAGCCCTCACAGAGTGTATTTGGGAGGACTCTCAGCTACATCAAATTTTAATTTAAGTGATATGCCAATGTCCCTCGTCTCTGAGAGGTTTGAGTAGTGAATGTACTTTTAGAGATGAGTGTTTTTCTGGACTTGAACAGCGGATGAAGTAAACCTAAATGTTTTTGGTGCAAAATATTCAAGTGAAGAGGAGTTCCTCTGTGGAGAAGAACAGAAGGAGGTTTTTTATTTATGTTTTTTTTTTGTCTGAGGCAGCACAGAGTGATGGATCCTGGAGGGAGCCATTATCTACCACCAGGAGCAATGAAGGAGCCAGGGGGGGCAGTGGTGGCCTTGGCCACCATAGATTAATCTAAGGCCACCCCAATAGGAAACTAAGCAAAATAAAAACTAGAAAACATTGTTTACTCAAATGAGCACAGTGGTTCGCTTATAATATTAATATATATTTATGGTGGTGGCCATCTTGGATTTTGACACGGCAACCCAGTTTTTAAGTTTTTCTTACACCTACATGCAGCCACACTAACGTTGAAGTCGGCATCTCACTTATTTTTCAAGTTATGCTCATGTAGCTCGAAGCTGCACTGCTCTAACTATGACCCCTGACCCTTATTCATCTTTCAGACTCACCATGAATTGTGTTCTTTAAAGTTACCTCTGACTTCAATATTGTCTGATGTTTTTCTACACATTTCTCGTCCTTGGACACAAGTCAGCTAAAGTCTGACTAATGTTTATTTTATTTTTCCTATGTTTCTAAGAAAGAAAAACTAATCAAATCATTAATGAAGTTTGTTTTATTTGATTAACAAATGTGAACATGAATAATTTTGATTGTTGTTTTCAATCATTATAATGAAATCATGTGAAATATTACAATGTGAGTAACATATTTCTCTGTTCTGTTTTTTTAGAAAGTGATTATTCCTTCAGAGACACCTGTGAAAATGTTCTTTGAGCTGGAAGCTGTTTTCTTCAGATGGGAGTCACAATGTCCCTGAGAGTAGTCAAAATAATCCTGAGCAGAGAGCTGTTGTTTTGCACAAAGATCCTTTGTGAAAAAAGCGGTTCGCCTTGGACCCCTGAACTGAGTGGTTCGCTTGGACTCCCGATGCAGAGAGATCATCTCCCGTCCCGAACTGGAAGGCAGTTTGTCTTTGGACTGATCCTAAAGGTCGTGTCAAGGTCCACTTGTTCAACTCCTGAGCAGATAAACATATTGCTCAATTACAATTGTTAGAAGTGTAAGGATGGTACTTTTCTGTGGCCCGGTTTGTGTCTGTTTCCCTCGTGCTCCCTCATTAGTTTCCATTGTTGCCACCTGTGTCTCGTCCCAGCTGTTTGTTATCACGTCTCGTCTTGTCCCTGTATTTAACCCGTCCTATTCTGTCTTGTTCTTCGTCGGGTCGTCTTCGTTGGGTACTCTTCATTGGGTCTCCTGAGTCTTTCCCTGAGTCTTCCTGGTCCCTCGAGTTCCCCGTGTCTCTCGTGTCTCCTGAGTTCCCCGTGCCTCCTTCCTTGTTCATGTAAGTTTTGCTGCCCCGTCAGCCTGTTATTTTGTACTTTTTCGTTTATCATTAAAAGCCTATTTTTGTATATCTGCCGAGTTGAGTCCCTGTTCTGCACTCTGGGTTCGCTCCTGACACAAATCCTAACAAGAAGTTTAAATAACCACAGAAGATGAAGCCTTTTTTCACTGCAAGACACGTTCTTGGCTTGAAGTCCAAACGGGAAGAAGGTGCTTATGGACGGTGCACCTTTACATCAGCTGTTGCCCTCACAGACCCCTGAATCTGTCACAGTGACAGTCAGCTACCTTGGGCAGTTCCCGGCGAGTCCTCCTCATAGTGTATCCTGGTCTGATCCACCCGAGAACCCCAGAAAGACGAGTGACCTGATGCCTTCAACACTGACCTGGTAAGGAGCAGAACCTTGTGACAATGATGCAACTCTTGGTCTGGTTATGCCATTTTAAGCTGATGCAACTTGGTAAATCATTTCCTGGCTTGCAGTGATAATAAATGACTTTATCTGATCACATTAAATAACTTATTTCAACTAAATCCAAAGTAAACTATTTATTAAAATAGTCAAACTTTGTCTAAATTCATGCGTGTATAAAAACTGAAATAATTCCTGCTCAAAGAGTGAATTTTGTCTTAGATAAGAGAATTAAGCCTTGATTGATTCATTATTTATTATTTGTTTATTATTGTTGTTGATTTTTAGTTTGATTATTTTTGTAATAAAACTTCAAAGACAACTTTGGTCTCTTCATTCAGATGAATATTAATTTGTTATGGTATAAAACTCCCTGTAATTAACAGATTCTACTTCAGAGACTGATTCTGATCATTTTTCATTCAACCTTTATTTAGACATGTTCGTCCCATTGAGCCTCGAGGACTCATTTACAAGAGACCTGATAAAGGGTGATTAAAGAGTGAATA